CTATAATTAATAAAACACAGCTGTCTGTTTACAGTATTGTGTAACTATACAAACTCTCACTTTATATAAGCCTGTTTTATCCTGGTTAGTCTGACTGTGCAGCCTGGGCCCATAACCAGTGTTAGGGATATACACCCTAGCAGAACCTGCAGGGCAGGCAGGCAGGCAGGCAAATATGTGAGATAAACGTTGTTGTAGCTTACACTCAGTAAAAGCAGATACACAGTGCTAGTTAAATAGTTTATTCCAGTAAGATTGTTAGCATAGTCAAACAGTCCATATATCATACACTTAGTTCAGTCCATCCGGGGATTAATCAGTTGCAAAGTCCAGTGTCGAAAAAGAGGTCATTAAACTTACTAATATCAGTCCAGTAATTTATCTCTTCGCAGTAGAGATATGAAGAAGTCAAACCTCTTTTCTTCCTTCAGCAACAGCAGAGAACACGCAGTTAACAATCCATCATCGTCAGCAAGCAATCCAGTAAGCCAGCAATACAGTTCAGGTTCTCTTGCTCCCTCTTATGGCGATTTACAGCCGCACCCAAAATTACATGCTTTGCATTTAAAGTGACACACACATATAAACTCACTATCATAGTTTATATATATTATTTTACCCAAACCACATTAGGTAACCTATGTTATTCCTAACAAAGATGCTGCACTGGTCGTAAGTGTGAAAATTTGCCATGTCACTTTTTCAGTGCCATTGTAATTTTGAATGGTCACTAAACGAATGGTTGTAACTCAAGGACTGCCTGCACAAGTGATCCTCAACTTATTACTGTAATTATACTGTAATCATAATTAATTGTAATTATGAGCCCAGAATTATAATCACTTGTCCTAACAGTCATTAAGCAAGTTAAGACGTGACTGCTTATGATTTTATAACCTTCTTTGCGGCAGACATTAACCAAACACTGCAGTCGTTAAGCAGAACCATGTTACCCAATGGCTGGTTTTTGCCGGAATGCAGAATTAAACATTTATTTCCATTTTTAAAAAATGTCATAAATTGTGGTCACACAACACTACAAATGTCTCTAAACACAGTCCAGTTGCCCAGCACCCAGAATATGACCGCAAGGTGAGGGCAGGTCAGAATTTTCAATCCAAGTTGTAAGTAGCCCTCATGAGGCTTGTCATAATATCAGGGAATTGTGCAGTCTGTGTCCAATGGAATCAGAGACCCTGACATAAACTTGTAGTTTTATATAAATAAATGTAATTTATAACTATATACACATCAAACTAGATTGTGAGGCAAACAGGAGCCTCATGAGATAAATCAACACAGCAGGAACATTCTGAGGTAAATTACGGTGTGCACATGGCACACAGAGGAAAAAAGGCAGGAAACAAGGACACTCCCCCTTTTTTCTGACAGCAACCAATCAGAGCTCAGGTTGCCTCACGCCATGACCAGCTCTCTTCAACTAATCAACCACAATTCTTTGTTCTGGCTTCACTGTTCCAGCTATTAAATTTAATATCTTTAACCCATAACTTCGAACAGTCTCTAGGTGACTGGTTGTAAGTTGAGGAACACCTATATTTTCGGTCAGGTATCAAAGTCCATTTATTTCTTCTAGTTATTTATTTATAAAATTTATTGGCTGCCCATCTTAACCTTGAGGTAACTCTTGGCGACTTAAAATCGTAAAAATCTGTCGACCGTTTCTTTCCACACAGGCTGGCGATTCAGATGGACGAGATTGAAGGCCTGAAGAACGCTTTGCAAGAATCCATCCGGACCAAAGAGGAGGACTTCCAGGTGTACCAGGACACCGTGGGACAGGTGAAGGAGATTTTCCTGCACGCTCTGAAGCAGCACACGCAGGAGAAGAACTGAGCCGGTCGCGGTGGTGGGAGGGGGTTAGTCCCGCTGTCCAGATGTGGTCCTTCCAAGGTGACTCTCATTTAAATACTTGCAGGAGGGCGCAGCAGATACAGCAGACGTTGGTCCTGTAGAAGATGCGGGTGGTCCCCAGCTAGAGGGACCCAGGGGCCAGCTACTCTCGTCCATAATGATGTACTCGTAGCCATATTCGCCGGATCGATAGTCCGGCACTTGTTCCGAACGAGTCTAGAATCCATACGCGGGAAGGATTTGCTTGGGTAGAAACCAACTTTGCATCAACTTTTGATATCCCTTGCCAAACAAAACCTGTTTAAAAACTTTTCCAGTGTAAATACAGACCCCGTTGTTGTCACTCGGCAAGACCCGGACAAAGTGTAATGTCTCATTTATTTTCTCGAAAGACGTGATATGCTGCTGCTTTGCTCGCGCACTTGTGAATTGCAGGGAAGGCGGTGGGTGGGCTGTTTTTCCTGGATTGTGCATTTACAACCGTGTCTGTACACTTCCTGTGCCTTCTTTCATCTCTGCCCAAACTAGCTTCGCCGTCCGTTAATCTCCTTATGGTCTTCAAATTTGGCTTCGGACGTTTTCTCCTAGTGGAGTTGCTCAGGGATGGCTCAGATTAAATTAGATAAAATATTGATCCGACAGGAATTCAGCTTGAGTTGAAGATGATTCAGCATCCTGTAGCCATGAAAAGAAAAGTAGGAAAAAAGATAGATAGATGAGAGATACAGAGACAGAGAGTCAAGATGGATGAAGACAGAAAGATACTGGTAGAGACAGACAGAAATCGATGATAGATAAATGATAGAGGTAGGTAAGTAGGTAGGTAGGTAGGTAGATTCTGAGGGGTTCAAGGTTGACTTATCCTTCCAAGATCAGTAAAACAAGGACCCAGATTGTTGGGGGCAATATGCTGACTCTGTAAATCCCTTAGAGAGGGATGTAAAGCACTATGAAGCGGTATATAAGTCTAAGTGCTATTGCTGTTGCTGTGAGCCAGCAGTGCGGTGCAGCCACCCAAAAAGCCAACACAGTCTTAGATTGGATTGATAAAGGGACAGAATCAAGATCACCAGAAGTGTTAGTGCCACTTTAATAAGGTCTTGGTAAGAGCACACTTGGAATATTGCCCCCAGTTTTGGTCACTATGATATAAAAAAGACGTTGAGGCTCTGGAAAGAATGCAGAGAAGAAGAACAATGTCATCCCTGCCGAGAGGGATGCTTCATTGGCAGAGGAACCGAATCATTTCTTTGCTCGCTTTGAAGTGGAGACATCAGAGTCAGATAAAACACAACCACCAGCCAAGTGTAGCCCCCACCTCATTGTGGAGGAACAGGAGGTGAGGAGCATTCTGAGGGCTGTGGACCCTAGAAAGGCTGACGGTCCTGACGGTATCTCTGGCCGAGTGCTCAGAGACTGTGCAGTTGGCTGGAGTCTTTACCAGGATCTTCCATCGGTCTTCATCCCAGTCCACTATTCCATCTTGTTTGAAGGCTTCCACCATTGTTCCGCTGCCAAAGAAGTTCCCTATCAATAACCTCAACGATTACAGACCAGTGGCGCTCACCCCTATCATCATGAAGTGCTTTGAGAAATTGGTCTGCCGGCACATCATTTCTGGTCTTCCTCATACGTTTGACAAACACCAGTTTGCATACAGAAGAAATAGATCTACAGAGGACATTATAGCCATCGCTCTTCACACTGCTCTGACTCATCTAGAACAGCAGAGGGGCTATGTGAGGATGCTTTTTGTGGATTTTAGTTCTGCTTTTAACACAAATCTCCCACATAGACTAATGTCTGAACTCCTGGAACTTGGACTTTCTCATTTAATCTGCCTTTGAGGATTTCTTGTCCGGCTACTCTCAAAAAGTCAGATTGGGTAATCGTATCTCTTCAGCCTTTATTCTTAACACTGATATGCCACAGCGTTGTATGTTGAATCCCTTATTCTATACTCTTTATGTACATGACTGCATTTTCATTCACGGCAGTAATATTATTATTAAATTTGCAGATGATACAACAGTGGTGGGATTCATCTCCAGGGGGGATGAGTCTGCCTACCGAGATGAGGTGGACCGGTTGCTTTCATGGTATGGAGACAATAACTTGGTCCTCAATACTAATAAACCAAGGAGCTTATAGTGGACTATAGAAGGAACAGATCAGACATCCAGCCCTTGCTTATCAATGGAGACCGAGTGGAGCAAGTGGCCAGTTTTAAGTTTCTGGGTGTTACCCTAAAAGAGGACCTGACCTGGGGTGCTCACATTGTAGCCCTGGTCAAAAGGGCCCAGCAGAGATTATACTACCTGAGACTTCTCAGAAAACAACAACAGAATGAAAAGCTGCTGGTGACCTTCTACTGCTGCACCAGAGAGAGTTATTTTAACTTTCTGCACCTCTGTATGGTTTGCCAATTGCACGGGCAGATTTTATCTATTTTATCTATTTTTATTCATTATACTTATATTTTCATCTGGTAGCGGAAGATAGAGGAGATCCGGATTGGGGTCTGGGGGTATCGCAACCCCCCTCCCCCCTTCATTTTTTGCCTTCCTGAGGCCCGGAGGAGTCTTCTGGGAGCAAAAATGTCCCCCCCAGAGGCTCCCCTGAAGCCCAGAAGGTCCAAAAAATGGAGGGGGGAGGGGTGTTGCAAAAAAGCAAAAAAAAAAAAAAAAAAAGCCATGCCCACCCAGTCACATGGCCACGTCCACAGAACCGGTAGTAAAAAAATTTGAATCCCATCACTGGTGCTCCATCACTGGAGGCTTTAAACTGGACAGCCATTCGTCTCCTGCTCAAGGAGGGGGTTGGACTAGAAGACCTCCAAGGTCCCTTCCAGGATTCTACTATCTCCAGCGGACGCATTTTCAGAGATTGACTCAAAAGCATCTCACAGCCTTCTTACCCGCTATCCTCTTTTTGTTCATTACCTCGCATGGAGTGTGCAGCGAGATTAAATCCTATTAATCAAATCCTTGTTCTGTCCATACCTTTCCAGCAGGTGGAGTGCTCAGCCATCGTCGGCTGATCTCTCAGCAGCCCAGGAGAGTCAAATTTCTTCAGTCAGTGCAAAATCTTTCCAATTAAACCTTTTGTGGTATTTCTGGATTGTTTTGAACAGGTTCCCCATCCTCCCTTTTTTTCATCCATTTCCCCAAGAAACCCGCATCGAAAGACATTGCATGGAGTCGCATCACAGATGGCCAGCAAGAATATCCCAGCGTTAATTCGTTAATTCAAGAATTTCTGTCCCCTTTCGATTTTGTTTTATTCAGAAGATTAAAATACCGGTAAGCCCTCGACTTACGACCACAACGGAGTCCAACATTTCTGTTGCTAAGAAACTTTGCCCCACTTTACAACCTTTGCTGCCACAGTTGTTAAGTGAATCATGGTAGCTGTTAAATTAGTAAGACAGTTGTTAAGTGAATCTGGCTTCCCCCGTTGAATTTGCTTGTCAGACTATCGCAAAAGGGAATCATAAAAATGAGACAGTGCCTGAATTCTGATCATGTGACTAAGGGGATGTTGCAACTGTTAATCCTCAACTTACAACTACAATAGTGCCCAAAATGTGTGTTGCAAAGTGAAATATTTGTTAAGTGCATTTTGCCCCGTTTTCCAACTTTCCTTGCCATATTTGTTAGGCGAATCAATGCAGTTGTTAAGTTGGTCACATGGTGGCTAAGTGAATCTGGGCTTCCCCATTGACTGAAGGTCCCCAAAAGGGGATCATATTGACCCTGCCAGGAGACTGCAACCATCATAAATACGAGCGTGCGAATTTTAATCACATGACCCAGGGAGATGTTGCCGTGGCCGTAAAGTGTGAAAATTGGTCATCATACGCCACTCTTTTCAGTGCTAATGTGACCGAATGGTCACTAAACGAACTGTTGTGCACTGAGCATTTCCAAGCTGTTCAAAAACATCATTCGATCACAACAGCGACCCCAAGACACGGCCACCATCATAAAGACGAGTTGGACCAAGTGCCCGAATTTTGATCCTGCGAACATGGGGATGTTGCAACAGTCGCAGGTGTGAAAAGTCATTGGGAGTCACTTTTTTCAGTGCCATTGTAACTTCGAGTGGTCACGAAATGAATGGTTGTAAGTCAAGGACTATCTGTATTCCTGATTTTAAACTCTGGGATATTTCCTGTCTTCTGGGGGGAAAAGACAGCCTGTCACACACACCCCTCTCTCTCTGCGGGAAGGAATCTCGAACGGGATTCAGAGCATTGGGGTAAAATGCCAAAGTCAAAATGGTGGTTTTTATCTTTATTTTCTATAAATAAATAGTGCCCAGCTACAACTTTGTGCGGTTGCTATATCCGCGGCATTCAGATGCTTGTTGTTCTTGCTCAGTGTTTCCTGGCAGGAAAAACCAACAGGAACACACTGTAAATTAAGCTCTGACAGTGCCAAGGGGCCAACTGTGTATATATCTCCTTTTGGCTATGATAACCCTAGCAGATAATCCTCGAGTTACGACCACGTAGTCTGGGGGGGGGAGGGGCAGAATGTCCATTGTTAAGCAAGGGGGTTGTTAAGCAAGCTGTGCCTGATTTTATGACCTTTTTGGCTGTGCTTGTTAAGTGAATCACTGCTGTTGTTAAGCGAATCATGCGGCCGTTAAGCGAATCTGGCTTCTCCTGTTAACCTGTCCAAAGCCTGCAGGAGGGTTGCAAATGGCCTTCATCTAACCCCAGCATGTTGCAGCTGTCGAAAATACATGCTGGTTGTCAAGAACCCAAGTTTTGATCGCATGATGGCTGGGATGCTGGAATGGTCATAAGAGTGAGAACCAGTCGTAAACCACTCTTTTCACTGTTATTGGGCTGACTGGTTGCTGTGCAATTGGTTGTAAATCAAGGACTACCTGTATATGTCAAGAGAGGGAGGGAGGGAGGAAGGAAAAGGGAGGGAGGGAAGGAAGGAAGTGTTAAATATAAGGAAAACGATTATTTAAAAAAATAAAATTATCATGTATTATTATTTTGCATGAGAAAACGGAGTTGGTATTGTTTCTAAAAAGGTAAATGCTTGATAGGTCAAATGGAACAATTATAAACTGTTTCAAAATTACCTGTAGGTAGCAGCTAACAGCTAACAGCACTACAAGCTTATAGCCTGAATGGCACCTGAAACCACAAGCAGAGGAAGAATAAAAATAACAACCCGAAGCTTAAATCAAGCAAGGAAGGAGTTGGTAAACTTGTTAAAAAATTCTTTGAACCAAGGTGGAGCGGGCTTTTGGAAGAATTGAGTAGGATGCTGTGTCAAAAAGAGGAGGGGAAAAATGAACTTGTGTAAGGGGATAAAAGCTGGTGGTTGC